CTAGTAGCGATGCACTTTGTTCCTAGTAGCTTCTTGTTCCTAGTAGTCTGTGTGTGGTAATGTCCGGAGTTTCCCTCACTGTTCGGTGTCATTCCTATGTCATCTTCATCGCCACAGGCTGCTCGAGAGCAACCCGCAAATGACTTCACGGAGCTTAGCTCCTCACGCTTGGGCGGGTTGGGTCCAAGAAGTGCAAAAGGCTGTGCTCCTGGTGAAAGAAAGCCACATGCATTCCCTTGACCAGGCACTATACCATGCAACAAGAAAGATTGCGTGTGACTCCAAGGATTCCAATGATTGTTCCCTGAATCCTTTTGTATCATAATATACATATACAGTATATATTATCGGCTATCATTCCACTGGTTCCTTCTACTCTTCCCTATAGCCAGTGCGTGTGTTCTTCAGCCTGTTCGTGTTCCACACGTACGCCACGTAGATCTATTCCACTTCTGGGTCAAAACTGACCATAGAGGAAGGTTGAGTGGTTGAAAGAAGACGTGGCTTGGCGGAGACAAAGGGGAACGCCTTGGACATGCTTTGGGATTGGGATGTCCTTCGGAAGAACACATGTTCTTCTTATTGTGGGTTATGATATCTGCAGGTCAGCTGTGGTTGAAATAGAAAGTCTCATATTGTCTTATATATATGGTATTTCTAGTGGCCAGTGTCGGACGGTCCCACCCGGACAGGACCGTGTGAGGACAGACCGTCACGTCAGTCTCACACGGAGCCTTCGCTGAGGAATCCCGGCTTCGAAAGCTGTGGAACTGTGCTTTTCTCCTGATGGTGTACGGTATATGCCTTTCGCTTGATCCATGAATCACGGTGTCCCGGATTTTAATCAGAACATCCTTGAAGGTGGTCACGCCATGTCGCGCCCGTGGATCTTTAGCTAAAAATGCTTCTACCAGAAGCAGAAGCAAATCTTGGTGCATCAGAGTCGCTGTACTAAAGCTTACGCTCCAACTCACTCATGTGTTAGAGGTTTGGCATCCCTGCTTGTTCGTAAACGAATCGACCTGTTTCAAGGGACCATCTTTGTCCACTTTTCACTGGTCAATGATGTGTTCGTCAGAGTGAAGACGACTGAGCTGGAAGGGGTGGTGACACAGGTGGATTCAAGAGTCTTCTTGATCGATCCAAAATTACCACCAATCGCAGCGATTCGTGATCTCATCGGCAGCGAGTGTGTGAGGCAGCACTGCTGCACGAACGAGCAGATTCTCAATGAAGTTCTCCATCTGAAAGCATCCCTTCGATCGTCTTCTCCCCCCCGTTCGATGCCCGCCTCAGTCCTCAATTTTGCTCACCTGAAACATGGCGGACCACCGGAGCGTTTAAGGCAGGAAAGCATGAAGAAAAAAGGCGACTGAGTCGGCAATCAAATCGCTATGTCATCCAAACTCAAGTATACCATCTGCTTTCTTAAGTGCTATGTCATCCAATCAAATCCAATCTCCAACTACCAAAACATGTAATGAATCATCCCGGTTTTGAAAAGAACTGCAATCCCACAGAGGGGGTTTATATATGGTTTCATGTTTGCCACCCACCTGGAACTGGAGAGGTTGCATTCTGGCAGATTACATAATTCAGTCCACCAGTTGTGCATGCAGGTAAAACCAAGTTCCGCTGTCAAGTTAAGAATCCGTAGGTTTAGTAGACTGGATCAGTACTTGTTATATATACACACAATGTCTAATGCCTCAGAGCTTTTGAAGAAGAAACTCCATGATCCCGCTGCTTGAAACAGGCCAAGACTGAAAAGAAAGGCTGTTGCACAATCTTGTAGATATGACATGAAATGTATGAATATGGTTGGTTGATGTTGGTTGATAAAGGTCTAAGGGTTGATCATCGGAGTCCGATCCTCCTACCCATGCTCTCTCTCCCTCCGTGCGCCGGCCCCTTCTCGATGCCTGGGCCGCGCGAGGGTGGCCCTTCTCACTGAGCTCCACCTTAAAGCTCACCTGGAGCCATGGCGCTCCGCTGAATTTCCGGAAGCGAGGTCAAGACATCAACCACAGCCTGTAAAATGGGCATGGCTTTGGGTGGGTGAGAGTGTGGAAGATCCATCTGTTTCATGTGCAACATATATAACATGTTGTTCAGACTTTTCAGCGCGATCCATCGAATTTTCCAACATGAAAAACATGTTTGAAGCCCCTGGGTTTGCAAGATCAACTGTGGTGATGTATATATATGTTAAAAATACACCCAAAAGCCAGGGACAAACCTTTTCCTTTTAATTTGATTGGATAAACATGTTCTCTACCTATGGGTACCTCATGGTGCCTCTTTAGAAGCAAACATTTCCCAACCCTTCCACAAACCTGTCCTGCACGTCAAACCTATCGCATGCCAAGACTTCCACACTATCATCATATACCTTCACCAACGCATCGATCTGTGATCATCTAAAACCCAAAAACACACCATCTCCACTCGTTTGCTCCGTGGCACCGTCCCGTTGATCTGCCAGTTCTTCACCGTACCTTCACCCCGGTCCACACCGTTCACAGGCACCGGTCACGTCGCGGCCTTGGATTTCACTTCGATGTCCGGCAGCAGCGAGGCGTCCACGAAGACATCCCGGCCGTAGGCGACCTTCGTTTCGCTGCCTGGCTTCGGTGCTTCGGACCGAGGGAGGACGTGGAGGGCGCTTCGACGGGTTCAATCCGGTGATGTACGGAACCCGGTGGGTTTGGATATACGGTGATGTACGGTACCTCGTGGTACGGAGGCGGTACTGATGTAGTTGGGTCTGATATGTTTTTGACCGGGGGGTGACAATGATGAAGCAGGGGGGGTGTTTATTTTTGAGGCAGGGTCGGAAACACTTGTACAAGGCGCCACAAAGTGTTGGACGTTGTTTTTTTTACTTTTTCTTAAACAATTCCCTTGTGTAGGTGGTCAGCGAGATAGCACCGCTGACAGTCACTACGAGTACATTAAACCATTGGAGGGAACTGCAGTGAAAGTGTGTGTGACCTTCCATACAACATCGGGGGCCTCAAAAGGCTTCTTTTTGATTGCCAAACAGGTTTTGCCGCTGTTTTACACTATATATTATAGGCATTACGAGTCCTTCTGGCGCTTTCAACGATTCCTTCCATCCACCTGTCCCTCTCCAACATGGGTTGGGATCCCTGTCATCGAAAATGGTTGCTTCCGACTTCGGAGGCGACTGGATTATGCCGCATCCATCGCAGCTGGGAGTCTTCAAAAGCCTGATATGTTTGAATACAGTGGTTTCAGAGTAGATGGCACAATCTCCAGGTGGTTGATATGGACCCCCATGTAAAAGACATGACATCTTGTTTGTGCTAGCTATTCTGAACCGTATTATATTCATTCGTACTTGGCAGGATCACACCTGCGGGCTGCATGATCACCCGCTTTCTCAGCCATGGACAAAAATTGCTGGCACCCGGCGGCGAAACACGCCACCAAAGAATATGCTAGGCCCCAGGAGTGAAACAGAAACAATCCCAACGAACGAAAGGTAAGTCTCATTCGAGGAAGAGGCCGAGGCGCGAGATTGGCATCGCTTGTGAGATGTGCATGCTTTGATAGTGCTAGTTGGAGTGTAAATCCAGTTGGCGCTTCCTGTGCCTTGAAAGAGACCTCAAGTTTTCTACTGGTAGCGCAAACAATAATCACCATCGCTTCCGAAATCGGTGAATGTGATTCTGTTCCGAATGGAGCGCAACTCCTCGTAGCAATCCTCGCTTAAGCCGTCCCACCACATCCTTCCATTTCTCGCAGCCAGCAGCCACTCACCAGAAGGCCCCAAACAAACAAAGCTTAGATCAGGCCTGTCAAAGTTTTGTATATTATATATATATATACACATCTGTTAATCATATATAGATCGGAGAAATCTTCTGCTCCCCAAGCTACTGAGATCCATCAAATGAAACCTCAATGGCTTTGGCTTGAAAATACTTGGGTCGACCTTGAACTGTTACAAAAAAACAACCCTACGCAAAAAGGGTTGCAAAAACATGACGAAAGTCGTGTTTAGCAAGTCACCTCTAATTTGAACCCCCTTCAATCACAAAATCCGTCCAGTCTTGTCCCAGGAAGACCTGAGCTCTGTGTATCACTTGAGCTGTTCAAACTGTGTATCGCTTGAAGAGGTGCAAGCGACAACTGCATCCCTGAAAAGGTGTTCTTGTTTTGGCTTTAAAAGTGGGCCGCAGGACTGAGCCTCAATGCACGTTTGCTCTGTCAGAGCTTTCACCCATTGCCCCAAACCAGTATGTGAACCTGCCCAGGCCCAGGCCATTCCTACCCCGATGCCATGACCAACGGCCACTGCTACCCATGTGGTTGCTCGTCTCAGCAAGGCACAAGTGATAAAGCCGTAGCCATTCTTCGCGCTTATGGACTTCCTGAGATCTTGGACATCGGCAAATGAACACAAATCCAGTGTATCCTCCTGGTGTTCCCGAAGTTGTGTGTTAAATTGATGATTTTGTGAGATGTGAGTACTGGGTACCTTTACAAGATGTTGAATAACGTTCCTCATTGTCCATCTCCCTCTCTCTCTGTACAGTCCCTACCAGTCCATGCCATTGATGGAAGAAGTCCATTTCCAACCCACACTGAAAATATATCATTACAGTACTTGCAGTTTGTGTGGCGACTAGTGATGAGTTTCTTGCATTCGTCATGTACTTACGCATTGATGGTGGGTCTTTCAACCACACTGAAATCAAGCGCACCCAATCAAACACCCTTCCCAGGATTGGATATCGGATATCAAATCAGCAGGAGGCCTTGTGTCCATCGTTGGAGTGCAAATTGCTATCGCAACAGCTAATGCTCTGCCCCAGAACAAAAACCACCCGGAATTGTGAACTCCAAGAGCTTAAAGCTTGATACTCACCCACAAGATGCTGGCATTGAACGAACAAAAACAAACAATGAACTTTGCCGCACTTGAAGAACTCTAGTAGGGTTGGCTATGCTCTGCCACAGTTCCTCCAAACGTCCACAAGTCATTCCGTCAAGACTTGCACAAAAGCTTCCTTTTTCAGTCTAAGTTTCACTTGACCTATGTACTCCTTGTCAGAGACTGGTGCTGACGGTGCCGGCGGAGCTGCACCCTCCCTTAGTTCGCAATGAAGCACTGAAGCCGTTTTGGAAGAATTTGCCACGACCGGAGATCATATGGAGTCAATTTGCACTGCTCTGGTCATATGGAGTCGATAGCAGTCATGCTCGCTGATTTTGGTGCACGTGGTTGGAAGCACGTAAAGCAAATATACTGACTTACGCCCTCGAAGATTAACATGGAACCCGAAAACCACTGGCTTGGTATTCAGAAAATAGTCTTTGAACGGTCCCTTTTCAGCTTCCATGTGGGTCTCTTCCCGGGTGTACACTCTCCAGTTGAGAGACCCCTTGTCCTTATGAGACATACATCATAACTATGCATAACTAATTATATATTATCTAAAGAAAAACAGGACTCTTCTCAATCTTAGAAGGACACGAAGGGATTCAAATACACCGTTGAAAGGCTCGCTTGTCTACTTGAAGGGAGATCTTCAGCTACATTTATACCGTCCTCCTGCTTACGCTTCTCATCTGTGAATCTCTTGCCAAACTATCAAACCATCACAGATCTTCGGTCCTTGCCACCCTGTCTGTCTCCAGTTGTCTGTCTATCCATCATTATGTCATCCCAAGCATATTCAGTCTTATTAATATATTCATATCAGTCTTTTTTGTGCAAATCTGCACTACATCGACTAGATTGTCACTACATGCCCGAGTTAAAAAATAGAAACACACTGATTCATTCATTCATCAATTCATCATTTCATTAACTCTTTCGTCAAATCGCATTGCTTCTAAAAAACAGTCTGTACAAAGATATTCGCCGTTGCCGTTGTTTTCCAACCACGACTCACGAATGTAGAGCTGGCCAGTTCTGCCCATTCATATAAACATGATGGGATCAAGATGGAACAAGAGTCTGTCACAAACAAGAAAATGCCACAAACATCGAGCCAGTCAAAATACAACATCTCAAAAAATCAGACCTTCAATCTAAAAACTACGCTGTTTGTCTGCAGCCATTATAAGGAGTAGATCCCCCCTGCCCTGCTCGGGCCAAAACCCACAAAAAAACAACCGTGAGTGACACTCCCCTCACTGGTCATGTGTGAAAACATGTTAAGTCCTAATCCTGGTGTATATGATGTGATCACTCATGTGATCATATGACACGTCTCCCCGACGGCGCTCCGAGGCGCTTCTTCGCGGCGGCCGAGATAGCTGCCTCGCAGCGCGGAGCGGAGGCCGAGCAGAAGCAAGCGGAGACGAGGCCGAGCAATGGAAGAGATGACTATATGACCCGAAGTGACAAAACTCTTGATTGGCGGACTAGACAGGCAAGTCGGACAAGTCTCACACATCTCTATAAAATGTTTGGTTTTCAACACCAGCTACAGTTCGGTCAGTTTTTGAAATAAACCAGGGAAGTCGCCCCCGTCTGGAGGTACTTTGGAGACCTTGAAGTATAGGTGGGTGTTGCAGATTCCCGGGGTCAAAAATGGGTCGATTGATATGGAAAATTGGTCGGGCCGTGGATGGATCGAAACTTTTAGATGGTCCTGCGGAATCAATGTCAAAGTGAAGCACACAAAGCCACAGGAAGGAGCAAACAAAAACATTTAAAAAACAAACATATTACGCCAGCATAGACCTCAAACAGTATAACGTCAGCAGTTAGAATGGCATGCAAACAATAATGTTAGAAAACATTTAGAAGCCAATTTCCTGATTGCCGAGGTCACCTGCTCCAAACCACGAAAGGATACATCTAATGCGAAAATCCGAGGATGATATCAAACGCTGCACCACTGTTGCATTCATAGCCACTCACGAAAACATACCTGGACAAAACGGCGGAGAAAGGGAAAACGGCATGGTCAAACACGGGATAAGGTCAGGCACCCCTTGCCACTGTTTCAATGCCAAATCAACATGGCAACTCTGTTTCCAAGAAGTCATCCCCCAGTCAACCCCGGAACGCTGTAGAAAGTCTGCCACCAACTTTAGACACATCAGGTGACTCGACTTGAGGCGTTGAGGCGACGGAGGTGGACGAAAGGTAGAGGTTGGAAGATTCTGAGCAGGAGCAAGCAGCCCAGCAGCAGCAGCCCAGCAGCAGCAGCCCAGCAGCAGCAGCCCAGCAGCCGCAGCCCAGCAGCCGCAGCCCAGCAGCAGCAGCCCAGCAGCAGCAGCCCAGCAGCAGCACCCCAGCAGCAGCAGCCCAGCAGCCGCAGCCCAGCAGCCGCAGCCGAGCAGCCGCAGCCGAGCAGCCGCAGCAGCAGCAGCCAAAAACTATGCCAAGCCTAGACAGTGGCAATAAGAACCCCACTAGCTCTCCCAGTAGCTCTCGCTATCTTGGTGTAATCTGTCCAAGTCCACAGGTGTTCCATTGCGAACTGCACTGGCAAGCCTGGAAATGACTGTGTACTTGTCTCGCATGTATGGGGAACATTCCTTGTGAACTGCTTACAGGACCCACTACACAATAAGAAACAGTACGGCGTTAAAACACCTTTCGATGAGAGCCCCAGTAAAAGTAGGTCCCTTTCCAACCAACAGAGTTAGCTTGTGTTGGGGGAAAAGAGACAATTTCCGCAAAGCATTCCCCGCAAGGCAGGGTAGCAATACCTAAAAAATAAGTGACGGCAGTCTTTTGCCTGTAGAAGTGCTTGTCGCCGTTGCCGGATTTTTTGGGCATCGCGGCAGCTAACCCCACCAGCTCCAAATACCTTATCGAGAAGTATACACAGAATGAGGGTTCCGCTAGTAAATTCCGGATGCCATTGAACACCAATGGCAGTAGAGGAAACCCAGCGGCCAGCGCGCCCCTTGTTCGGCCACAGCTGGCGTTGACAAAATCGTCGGGTTCAACGTGCGCGTCCAAGGAACCCCGTAAGCTCCGTTGAACGAAGGACCCAGGCCTGCCCATGTATGATCTTGAATTTTGCATGTAGTCTCTCCAGCCGCAGCCAAGCATGGCCTCGCCAAGCCCAGATCTCCTGTAGATCTGATCTTGAACGTAGAATGAACCCATGTTACGATGGATACCAGGTCATCCCAACTACGCCTAGCTACACCTGCAGAAGAAAGTCAAAAGCTTGGCGTCCCCAGCCCAGATGCCACTCGCAACAAAGCAGGATAGGGTTAGCACACGGTTCACATGTTCATTCCTGCGCTTCGTCAGGTCACTCCCACTGAGATTCTTCTGTCTTGACGCAAGGAAGAATTTCTCAGTGCCACCAGCAACATTCATTGTTCACTGCGATTTTTTGGTCGGAGGCACGCCGCCGCTGCCATCGCGATTGGTCAAGCCGGATCCTCTATGCGCGAAGCACGACCTCCCACCGGTGGACGGCTGAGGCTGCCCGCCGATGCAGGTCCAGCCTTCTTTCTCGAGTCTATAGCAATCTCCTCATGTCGAAGGCGCATCATGCAGTTGGCCCATGGGACGTTCACTCCTCAAGCCTGCAGTCTATATAGACTCTTCACTCTATAGACAAACCTATTGTCTTAAATCCCTCCGGCTCAAACGAAACAAATCATGGCCCTTTGCTGTCAACACCCCGCAAAGATATGCACACTTCCGTCTGCTGCTGACACTTTCACTCGGCCACTCTCAATGTAGCCGCCCCGACTACCGACGATGACATGGTCTGGTCGGATGCCTTTTGGTTTCCGTATGCAGGTAATCAGTCTCGTAGCCCTTAGTCAGACCTTCATAGCAGATCCTGCCAGGGATGTCATCGGCACGGTTCCTCGCCACAGGAAAACACCTGCTGTCAGGGTCCAATGCGCAATAATCATGGGTTGATGAGGCTGTCATACCGCGGCTCGTTGTGCGCAAACCTATAGCCATCCACGCCATAGACCGGCCCAGAGATGTCTTGAGAACGCTGTCACTGGCATGCGTCCCGGCCTTGTGGAGCTCTCCTGTGCTGCCCAAGATCGATTTGTCTGGCAGGAGTTCGAGGGCACGAATGATGTCGTTCCTCAAGCCTTGGCTGATTCCCTCGAGCACCTTGAAGGGCTGACAGGCAAGGTCTGCGCTGGAGGCAGTTTGCAACCGAATGAAGTGATCGAGGAGCACACCACAATGCAGGGCATAACGGCCGTATTGTGTCATAACTGGTTGTAGTTGCTGCACGTTTGGCCTAACTGGAGCAGCAAGGTATCCTCTGCCTCTCGAATTGTGGCAGCTGTCAACGCGCCCGGAGGCCAGAGGAGGACATGGCAAGGACAACAGAGGACAAAAACAATGAGGGAAAGAAAACAACGCGAACACACCAAGAGGACAAAAGAAGGACAAGCTGTGATGGGACAACGCCAAAAGGATAACAGGACAACATGAAGGGAGCACACCGAGAGGCAAGAGGAGAAGAGGAGAGGAGAACAGGAGGACAAGGAGAGGACACGCAAAGGACATCGGCTTCGGGGGTTGCTCTCTGGAGTTGTCTTGCTAGTGCCTCACTTCTTTGTGCCGCGCGCTCGCATGTTGTCATGTTTACATGCTGACAGGCTGCCACGTCGCCACGCGACGGAATGCCACGGTCTTCGCGCTTGCTGGCTGGCGCTTTCCCACTAGGTGCCACACAAGCTTGCACATGTGCAATTGCTTTCTCGCATTAGACCCTTGCACGCGCGCGCGCGCGCTGTCATAGTGTTATGTCTACACGCTGCCATGCTGGACAAGGGGACAGCAGGAGGACAAGAAGAGAACAACAGGTGGCTCAGAAGAGGACAACAAAAGGAGAAGAAAAGGACAAGAGGAGGAAAAGAAAAAGGGCAAGAAGAAAACAAAAGGAGCACAAGGTCTGGAGACTGTCTGGCAGTCAAGGCCAAGCTGATGTCAACAAGAGGACAATAGGAGCACGGGAAGAGGACAAGAAAAGGTCAAGAACAGGACAGAAGGAGGACAAGAGGAGGACAACAGGAGGACAAGAAGAGGACAAAGAGAGGACAATGAGAAGACAAAGAGAGGGCAAGGAGAGGACAAACAGAATACAAGAAAGGGACAAGGAATGGAGATGGGCGAGCAGCCGCGCCAAGCTGGAAGAACGACAAGAAGAGGACTACAAGAAGACAACAGGCGGACATAGGATTCAACAGCAAACTGTTTTCGGAAGAATATTCTATGTCCTAATCTAGTCCTTCTGAAGAAATCATAGCAATCTTTTGATGAGTATTTGCGGTTCTCATTTGGTCCTAATGGTAATCTTCATGTCATGTCTGTTGGAGTTCTGATTCACCTGATTTTTGTGTGGAGTCCCCTGGTATCTATTAAACTATTATATAGATGTATATAACAGTTCGGCCCATATGGTACTAATTCATACTCATTAACTGTATGAACAAATGACAGATGGAACTCTTTCACAATCTGTGGGCCAAGGTGGTGAATTCCACGCCTCATGAGGCGCAATCCAGTGGCCAACTCTGTCCCCCACCGAAATCCACTTCTCTTGACCCAGTCTAGCCGCCTATAGACAATCGAGGATGTTTGGGCTTTCCGATTTCAGGGTCATCCTTTTTCAAGGGGCCATTCACCTTGATTTGCCTTCCACTATACAATGTATCCATATCATCATTGGTCCAAAAAAGAAACAAAAAACCCTAAAAGCATCTAAAAACATCACGTCAAACAAAAGATCACATGTGACCACGAGGCGGTGAAACAATATGTGTGGAGAGCTCTTTTTCCAACTCTAGTGTGTGACTTTCAGATTCTCCTGAGAAGAGACGGACTTTGACACACACACACACACACCAACACACACACACACACACACACCACACACCAACATACTCACCAGGACTGACCCAACGACGGACCCCTCTGTTCGGCCTCACTGGGAATGACGCCCCCAGTGAAGCCACTGTAGTAGGCCTGTGCCTGGTGGAGATGGAGAAGGATGGCACCAGGATGGCACCAGGTGTTGATTCACATGGTACCATCTACTTTCACATCGTGACGGTCAGCGTGGTGGCCTAGATGCTTTGGATCCATTCACCATCTTCGACCTCGGCTCCTACTCAGTCAACGTCAGAAGCGTCCATGGTCCATCGACTCTACTCTCTTTGCCTGGATTTTGCGCCCAAGCAGCTGGGACTCTACCAGTGTAGACTCCCATGAAATGTGCTCTGAACGTTTCGAGGATGAACATTTCACATCGAACAAATATCAAGCTCTTCGTCCCAGTGAAGAAGGTAGATCAACTCCTCGTTTGATGTCTTTGTTTCCTGATTACCCTAGCTATAGATGAACTGGGGCATAGTGGGGGTTAGATGGGGCTAGCCTGCTTGGAGGACGTGACTTGTCCTTGTGAGAAGTTGACCAGTTCGCAGACTCAAACATCTTCCAGCTCACTGGGAAAGGACTCCGAGCAGGGGTTTAGAGTCTAAACACATGTTCGGGCAGGCCGTCGCTGGCGTTTGAGCGGCCGGACGGCTCTGGCAACATGTTTCCTGCCTGCAAGGCCTGTTGGTAGTACTGGTAGTACTGCATCTGTATGGCCTGAGACGTCCCACAGGTCCATCTGGGCCGTACGACGCCAAGTCGTCCGTTCGTGTGTTGACACGTTGAAACGCATATAGAGCTCGGCTCGAAATGTTTCCCAGCGTGCCTGGTAGCTTCTGGATGCTTTTCAAGCTGAAGCACATGTAAAATAACACCACGAGTGAACGTGTATTTGATGGAACCGTGCTTCGCTTCGTGGGTCACGGGTCACTTCTTGGGTCCGACGGTCGAACTTTCACCACCTCTTTGGGAGACGTGAGTCATCCATAGTCATCCACTCATGATTCTCATCAAGCCAGCGTCCCCATCATTCTCCAAGGCGGTTGGTAGTCGGTCAAAACAAGATTGCGCCATCACGGGCTCAGGTCTGGGTTGGAAGCAAAACCCGACGGTCCCATGAAACCTGCAGGATTGCGATCTTCATTTGCTGACCCCACCAATGTTCACTGTTCAGGAAAAAAGACCGTTTTGCAGGTACAATTTCACTGATTTCAGGTCGCGAGAACCCTCTCTTCTGGACGAGAGACTATGTACTCTTCGACGATCGAAACCGTCGAGTCCGTCGAACCCGACCTCCGACATCGTCCTCACGCCTGCAGCTGTTCCGGGGAGTAGGAGGGATAGTAGCCATAGGGATACCTGAAAAGCCAAGCAAGGCAAGTCTGATCGGTGTGAAAATGCACAAGGACTATCCAAGGCAAGTCTGGAAGAGGTGCCACGGAACTATAACTTCCAAAGGGAAGGAATGGGAAGACACTTGAAGTCCTTGAATGTTTCTCACAGTGTATATTTTAGAATCATTCCCTCTCTCTCTCTCTCTCTCTCTTAGCTTTGCCTTAAGCCGTTGATGCTAACCATCGAGCATCAATACACACAACAATGACCATGATGAATGTGGCCTCCCTCTGCAATCCTGACTGACATTCATAGTATGTCATAGTACTATCCAACTAGAAGATACTAGAAGAATGTCTGCAAGTATTGATTCAGCAGGGTCAAACCTGTTCGCTTTATAACCTTGGCTGCACTCTGTCACTTAGCCTCAAACGGATTTCTAATGGCCTTATTACTGTACTGACTAGAATGGATTGGGTGGAGTGGAATACAAGCGCTGCAAAACCCATGTGGCGCATCAGTGCCAAGTACCTTATAAATAATGTATGCATCCATCACGGTGGAAATTTGACACTACCCGGAAGGGGACAAGGACCGTTTTGAAACAACAAACTGCCACCTTCAAGCCAACAGCTCTTCCAAGTTCTCTGTGACGTGCGAGGCCCCCTTTTCAGAAACATGCCCACTTCCGAGTGGCCGGCGCCCAGCGCAACGATTCTCTGATTCCCTATTTCTCGGTCACGCTGGAGCTTCGGTGGATCGGTGGAGACGTGAGCATACCATGGCACCAGGACACCGACCGCCTGACCCGGTGTCGGTCGTTGCCCATGGACTGGTTGGGCTCCAGTTCTTTGACCGATCACCACCAGGATCTGAGATCCGAATGAGCGATCTTACGAAACATGGCCACCGCCTGGGAGAAAACATGGCACAACAAATAGGTCAAGGGCCAAAACAATTTAAACCTCTCATCGTCATCGTTCATAATTTTGCTTCACCCTCTTGCTTTGACGTTTTTTGCATCTACCTACGCCTTTTCACCATTCTATATTATATTATATATATATATGTTATTATTATGTTTATTTTTTTTTCCGATACCAGTTGCACCTTCTTTCACAGGTGTCAAAATGGCTAAACCCATCCGTCAAACCGCCAACAGCAGCTCCTCCTCTGCCCGTCCTTATTACTGACGGCCTGCGGCTTCCTTCTGCGTGGCCGAGGTGCTGGTACCCAGCGGCTGTCTTTCCTTTGCCCTTTTTGCCTGCTGAGGACGACACACGGACACCGGAGTGGACACTGTGTCGGTGACACGCGGAGGTGAAACAGATGGTCGCCCAGAAAACAATGGGGGCATGGCACACAAACGACATCACACAGGTAGTCGCAGTCGCGACTGGAGTTGTTGAAGGTCACTATGCCATAGGGCTTTGCCGATTTGAAGTGATTGCCTCGAAGCTGTCTTTGCGTGACACGTCTCAGCTCAAATTGCGATGTTGGTTGATGTGTGTGCGCTCAGAAAGTGTCGAAATCATTCCAAACGCGTGTTGTGGTGCAAATTTTGCTAGACACGCCAAGGCGGTGTAACATAGTCACCTTTCGTGGCAGGCGCAGTACTACGTTCGAGGTGCTGGACGCGTAGCTTGCAGGGAATCGTGCTAGAGTACTGCATCTTTCCTGCCTTGATGAAAACAAACATCCCAAATCTGTGGAAAGAGCTTCTCCCAGTGAAGTTGTTCTGCCTGTTCTGCATCGCGAGCAGGCGTAGAACAAGTTGATTCATTGGGAGAAGCGCTTTCCATAAGCTCCAGTGGAGCATCTACTACAGAGGACTCGCTGATGTTGTGACAACTTTTGCTACACTTTCTTGTGGAAGATTCTTGTGCATTTGTAGTTTCCACCTGTAAGTGATGGAAACACATCTCATGCAATGGGAATTTTGAGCACTGGTGGCTTGAAGATGTTGGAGGCCATTCTGTCGTTCGACCGCATCCAACATCTCCACAGCTCTGGAGGACTGGAGGACGCGGAGGACACATGCATTGAGGACTCGGGTTGCCGTGAGTACCAAGGAAGCAACCTTTCAGTTGTGTGTCCCTAGAGATCCAGGGAAAAGGCCTAGAGATCCGGAAAAATGCATCTATACATACCCCGTGTTTCTGTCCTTGCCGTACCTGAGAGACATGACTGGATTTTTAGGGATATGATATGTTGTCTCTTTTGTTTCGGGACAGCCTCTACAGATCTCTACAGATATATAGTCAATGCATGTCTATGTTCCTTTTTAGAACTTGCAGCGTTTCGGTGAAATACCGATCTTGTAAAGCTACGCGTTGTCGAGTCGAGGGAAAACCAAAAAACAAAACATCCTCGCAAACTCCTCAGCCGTGTGTCGGTGACCTAAACCGGTCAAGATCTACAGTTGTTCAAATTCAGTGGGTTTCCGCTTTTCTGCTCTTTTCGCTGACCATCAGAACCAGGTCAACACTGGCCATTGCTGTTTTTGGTGGGGTGATATGTTATGACAAATTTAATGACTCAGTGGATCAAGTCCTGCTTACCACTTAGATTCGGATTCGTGGGCGTGGGGTCCTGATGTTGTTGCAGGCTGCCAGAACTGCCAGCACTACCTCAACTTCACAGCTTGCTCGCGCACCGCAGCTGGTCCACAAACAAAAAGGGGTCACTTTAGTCTGGCCGTTTGTGACATACGGTACATGTGCATTCGGCTTCGTGGGCTCCATAATTTGTTTCCGGATTTTTTTCACCAAACTCGATTGAGACGTGTTGGAAGTTCATTCATGGGGACAAAATCAACAAACTGAGCCTTGCAAACACGTGTTTCATGTTTTGGGGGTGAAGCTAAGAACCAAATGCCAGTGCTGCCGATGAGGAGTATCGAGATTACTTTTGCGGATGCCAAAGTCACGCGAAAGAAAACGCACACAACCCAGGATGACAAAGAATTCCCAAGGTCTATGAGTCACTCTATATATGAAGGTCCCCTCCATTCTTCACCAGAGAATTTGACTTCTAAAGAGCCCCAAACAGCCCATATGTCTTCTGGAAACTCATTTGCCTGAAAGCCCGTTTCGCACACAAACCCCGGTGCCTTTGCCCTTTCCCTTTTCGCCTCACCGATGCTGGAAATCAGTCCGACAGCTTTCTTGACCGATCCAGACTCACATCACTATTGTGACCCTAAAAACAAAGAACCCATCAACGGTGGAGTCTGTGACAGCTCAAAAAACGATTGTTCAAGATGGAAGACGATTGAACCCGTGTCACTTCTAAGAAGTCAAACATATGCTTTCCAGGGCATGGAAGGCGTTAGTGAGTGCCAAAGTACGCCCGAAAATGGTCAGTCAAGTGCCGTGCCCCCGAAATTCTGACGAACAGGATTGGAGTACAGCAAAAACTGCTTCCACCTCAGCTTGAGACTGATCACATCTAGGAGATGTAAACACTCCATGTATGGAACTTATGCCATACCATTATTTCATTGACTTATTTCAACCGCCCAATGGGTAACAGCTTCATGACGCTTCTACACCCCGTCTCGAAATGGGGCTCTACGAGACCGAGAAGAAGTCACACCCCAAACCCTCCCATCACTCCGGTCGTCCCATCGAACGCGCACCTCCAGGATTGTTATCGGTTCGCTTCAGCTAAACACAACATGTCTGGGAGTGCCACATTGACTCATTGACTGATCAGTTGGAGGGGGTTTCGAGGATAGGCTCTGTGCCTCTCCGTCTGGGAGATCTTCCATCTGAGGCTGCCTCTGGAGGGACCAAGGTGTCACTGGGCATCTGGGTGGTTGTCATCACTGGACATCGGTTATCATCAGAGCCCCGGAGCAACATTGGGATGTGCAAATGGAACCCGGAGCCTTCGGAAAGTGAACAAAACAACTTATGTTGAGTTTCTTATCCTTTAACATGTTAGCTGTATAGTACCTAGATGTACATAGGCTAGAATAGGCAACTTGAAAGAAACAAACTAGTCAGTTTGTCATGTTTGTCGCGTTGTTACGGGGTCCACGTCAATACTTTGAGACGCGCCCAAGTCCGGAGTTACGAGTCTTCGACCGGATGCACCGAGCACCGCGAGAGCAACCAACTGTGGAGCATGCGCAGGCGTCCGAGGAAGTCCGACGAAGTCCAGGCCTCCATCCTTTCCTCCATCCTTCCCTTTTCCTTCGTTGCCGAGAAGCAACGCACACATGGACAATGGAGAAGCAACGCAGCTAAAACAACACACCTGGAAAGCACCAACTTGCTGATCTCCTCTGATCTACCAGATGCGGATTTAGAGTTTCGTTCTTTGTGAAACATCTTTTGGACCAGTGGTTCAATGGAGCATCTGCTGAGAACAGCGTAATTGATTCCCCTGAGCCTGAAACATCCGCATTCTTAAGATTCAGAGCAAGCCACCAAAATTCATTGCTGAGACTTTGTGGATGAAGAGCAGAAAACTGGGTGTGGCTCAAGAACTAAGACCCACACTCTGCAGGTGGGTTGATTTTTATAAGGCGCGTGCCTGGGTGGCACCCCAATCTTTGAGCCAGCTGCAGCTAACTAGAAAACCAAATCGAGATCTTCCCAAGCGATCTTCGATTCAAATGTAAAGGACTGGTGCAAATGTGAACGCTGCCGCCGCCACCACCATCACCATCACCATCACCATCAGCAGCAGCAGCAGCAGCAACAACAACAACCACAACAACAACAACCACAACCACAACGAAAACAAAAAAAAACGACAACCACGCCCACAACCACAACGACAACAACAACCACAACCATAACCACAACAACGACGACAACAACCACGACCACAACCAAGCATCCGGTCGTCCGCTCTACCTTCTAATGAATTTCTTGGCGGCCAAGTATCCTTTACCTTCTCCAGGTTGTCGATCTGCCATGGTCACCAGCAACGGCTTCCCACCCTCTTGGGGCTTTTCATGCATGGCCTCCAGACCATCGGGACGGGTGGTCGCGGACGTCGCGGACAAGCGGGCCTTTTCATTCATGGTGCTTCACACAGGGATGCAAGAATCAAACAAGCCTTAAATGCCGATTCGTTTTCTTCTTGGTGAAGCTGGAATTCCTTAACTTTTGGCTTCGCTGGAAGCTCAACAAAATGATTCTGAAATTCTGACGTAGATGTTTAGAGCTTATTCTGTTTCATCTGCAAGGACTCTGAGCACCTTTGCCAGTCTTCAAAACACAAAGGGGTCACCTGGGGTCACTTCGGCATCCCCGCCGTGGAAGCTGTGGATGACTTTGAATCAGTTGGTGGGACCTTGAAGCAACTATACCCCTGGCAGCTGTTACTTGGATCACAGAAACAACCTTCATAGAAGGCGATAGGGCCTGCTGATGCAACATACTTCACACTACATCAGACACAACATGGCAACAAAGAGTCTTCTGAGTCTTCTTCTACATAATAGAAATGCTGGTGCAGTCGGATTTCTTCGCCCGGACTTCGTCTTCGCCCGGATCGATCCCAGCGCGCAGCGCTGTGTTTGGACAAATCTTCTGGATCGATCGAACTCTCGGGTGCGTGGGGGGGGTTTGATGGACCCCTCACATGGTCGAGCCAGAGGTGTGTTGGACCAGCCCGGCTGCTTCAGAAGCGCTGCCCAGGTCAGGACCAGCGAAACAAACTTGAACACATTCTACCATATCTCAATCTTACCTCTAGACACTTAAAGATCCCTGTGAAGCAAGAGGCAAGGGTATTTGAACATGTCAAAGGCAAACAGTGCCTTAGGTTCCTCGAAGTGCAGAACTACGACTAGCCAAATCGTGCCAAGCTTCCTGCAACTCTCAAACTTTTGATATATATGGCATTTTTTTCCTACAACCTCACATACAATCTGAAGACCTTCATGACTTCCTCAAACTTGTGGCCAAAAGAATCCTCCCCCAACTGACCCCAAAACGACCCCACAGCGACTTCGTTTGCTTCCTCCTCACATGACCCGTCGATCGACATGGCGGCCTCTATCGCCTTCTTCGCCTTCCAGAGCGATCGGTGTCGTGCTATGTGATCCGCTGCATGTGATCCGGTTGGTGGGACAACAGCTGCATGTTGGTCGTCAAATAAAAGGCAAATACATGAGACCAATTAGCTCCGTTGTTTGATAATTAATAGGATAACAAAAAAAACACGTAAGGAACACACAGAAAGGAAGCAACTTGTTGATATGCACGCTCCACCCAGTGGATCGAAATACTATAGGAGGTTCCAATAAATGCACTGAAATAAGGGAGACAAAGGCAAACAGCTGTTCAAGCAGAAGCTTCAAAGGAAGGAGGGTTATCGTGCAATGCCCTCTGTATCCCTCTGTTCATGTCATAACGCCGCCAATTTGCATTGATCTGGGCAAGGGAAGATAGTATAGTCTGAAGCAGGACTCATCTGCAACCTCCTTCCAGCACCTTAAAAAAGTTGGTCTGTAACACCCCGCTATTGGGAACACCATAACGAACACCCGAAATCGGCCGAAATACCAAGGAGGGAGGAACGCTGAAGGTCTTGTTTTTAACGCTGAAGACGACATCCATAGACCAGACGACATCCATAGACCCGTACACCTTCGGGTCGCATCTCAGGGGCGAAGCATTGACCGTTCTGTTTCGTGCAAATGGGCCAAGTTCCCACTGTAAATCCGAGGGTTTTTCAGCATCTGGAAGGGTCGCAAGTAAGGTGAAAAAGGATTGCCCCCCCCACACACAGGGGTCAAGAACCCATCTGCACTCTTTCTTGGCCAATCTTTCCCCTGCTCCTTCCAATCCCCTCCAATCCAAACGGATCAAAAGGACCATCCTGGACGTTGCTTCAGCCATCTTGCGAACGTTGTGGGTCCGTGGGTCGGTCGGGTCCCGTCCGCCGTGGCCTCTTCCACGGCCGAGAAGGTCACAAAGCCATAGCCCTTGCAGGTGCCGTTCCTGACACGAGGAGGACACGAGTGTCGAGTGAGTCAGCGGATGCGGACGGTGCTTTCGCACCGATCTGCGAGTCAGTGGATCACTCGGCAACCCACCGTGGTAGGAGGCAAGCCAAATAAGTGGCTCCTGAACAGTTCAAGCTAGAACTTCTGGCAAGCCAGTTAGTTGCCAAACAAATCTATGGACATCTACTGATGGACCATCCGCACACCACCATTCGACAGTCAGCAAAAATACTTCTTGAGATAGTAGGCTGGTTGAACTACAACATCCTCTTGCACGCACTTGATGGTTTGTTTTTGCTGTTGTTGCTTCAATTTGCTACAACCATCAGGTACTCCAGGCACCTGAAAAGAAACATCTCAACTCCTGGTATTGCGCCCCCCAAAAATTGCTCCACCAAGAATGTGCTGATCCAGCTAATCCAGGTAGGTCCCAATCCAAATACCTACAGTGCTCCAGGAACTCCCTCCGCCCAAACGGACGCTGTTTGCACCCCGAGAACTCGCCCGAAACCAAGCGAAGAGCGGCAGGAACCGTCGATCGGGCGGCCGATTGGAGGACCCGGAAAGGCGTTCGGGGATGGAAAAGAACTGTGATGCGTCTTTTGGCACTGGAATCCTGCATGTGTGTGTGAAATTCCACTCCAAAATGCGAAAGAAACCGCGTCCGACAAACCCGCTGCCAGGCATCTTTAAGGTCTTCAAGGACACTGCTGTGATGGTTCCAACACCTGCAGGCAAAAGCGTCAGAACAGCGCCGCCCCATGCCCCCAAGCCGCCAAATCGTGGACAAGAAACACCCCCCCCAAGCAACCAACAGTTTTTGCAGGGAGGGTGACAAACCAAGAAACTCGCATGGGAGAAACTCTGACAAACACATCACCTGGAAGTGGAAAAATACCGTTGACAACCTGGCGTGTCTAGAGGAAAGCAGTCTTTACTGAAGGGTTCTTGCCATCCACTTCCCTGGAATGTGAAGAAACGGTGTTTCCAGCTGGAGTTGCTCAACCAATCATGATCCAACGAGCCAACCATCTCTCTCTTTTGTGATCCGTGATCAGCCATCGTTCAGATCAGGACCAGAACCAAGTGACCGAACAGAGATCCCAGGATGAGGTCACTTAGGCCTGTAAAAGGTCACTTAGAGATTCCAAAAGGTCACCTTAAAGGTCTTGGTTTAGATCAAATACTATATATATATTATACACAAGTTGTATACACATATAGTATATTAATCTAAACCAAGAAGTGTCTTAGGACCTGAGCTTTTGTCTGCTAAATGCAGCACACAATACATAAAGTGACATCTGATCCAATTCTACGACCATAAACCCTGGCCAGAATGAGCCTCCGGAAAGGCGTCAAACTAATCTTCACATGTACTCTACTCTGCATGCTCCTGGATAGTTCTAATTGTCTATTTATTACTATAGTGACCAAACATCTTGAAGCACATCAGAACTCTTCCAAGATCTGTTTCAAGAGTCATACCAAGCATTACCTGTCGCTGCTAGCTGCTCAAGCTGCTAGCTGGCCTGGCCTTCGAACAGCTTTCGCACATCCTCTTCTTTCACATCTTTCCCCAGATTGCGCACGCAGATCTGAGCTCCTGCCGTCGAGGAAAACCCGCAGAGATCGATGCCGATCCGCCGAGGAACACCCACAGAGCTCTGAGCATATCCAATTTGGATCAGACCATCCCTATCAGAAGCATGGGTGGGGGTTCATCTCCAATCCAAGGATTCTCAAAACAAACACATAGAGGAACTGATCTGATAGAAGACCCCCTTAATACTCTCTTCCCATCACTGTCACTCCATCTTCCGCTTGGGATTCCAACCGCAAACCGACCTCTTAGCCGGCCCAGGTGGGTCTTCACTGCCACTGACTGACGGCCGCCTGAAGGCTTCTCTTTGGCTTCACCTGGAATAGGAGAAATGGACAGACAAAACTAACACGATAAATAAGACATTACAAATTACGGATCTTGTTTAGCCCTACAAACAAACAGCTTTGTTTAAGGTACAAGTTATCTATGGTGTGGTGGCTTCACAGGGGGGGGTACAGTACCCTTTACAGATTGACTTTTGGCAATTGTTAATTGTTGTTGAGGAAGGGTTTCAAACACAACTTACCAAAAGGATCCAAAAGGTTTTTAATTTTGGTGATTCCAAGCTGTGAAGTCATTTCAAGGAAAATAATTCAGAAAGAATCCAACAAAGTGAACAGGACATCAATTCAAAAGGAATCCAAAGAAGGATGTCTGAAAACTACTGCCGCTTCATGGGTTTGCCTGCCGCGTTGGACCTTCAGTAGTGCCACAAAAAAGTTGTCAAACAATTTGCTCTGTTTCGGTGCCGTTTTGCGCCGTTCCCTTTTTTGATTTTGGAGGTGCACTACATAAATTTCCGCTGCCTGCCCCAAGAACTATGTTTCCGAAACAACAAAAAACACTATATACTACATAATGCATACAATTAAATATAATGTAACAGGAAAATGTTGGTAAAATTAATTGCCTCATGTTTAGTTTAGTTAGGGTAACACGATAATCAAAGGTTAACATTAATGGCATTGATGGCAACAAAAAAGCTCTGGCAGTTTGGCTAGTCGTCTAATTTGCGTCAACTCTTTCAACATCACAGGTATGGTATACCCTGAGGCTCCAAAACTAGGTTTGGAGGGTCGGTCTAAGTACCATCTGAGGTACTTGGAGCCCCAGAGATCTAACAATAAAATCAATAAACAAAATCTCTTGAACCCACTCTTGAACCCATCGGCCCACCCAGAAGGCCAAACTCTTGGCGCCACTCTAGACATAATGTAGACTCTTGATTTGGTAAGACCCCCCATTTGAATGGACACAATGTGTTGAGAGGCTTCATATTCATCAAGAGTCGTTGACGACCCTGTTTTCCGACCCCTTGGGGACCCCGTCTTTGGCTCCGGCTCGCTCCTTACGCTCCGGAGCGAGTTACGGCCGCGCCTGGAGCTGCAACGAACTCGGCCGCCGCCAGGTTCAGCTGCACCGGACTCCCCGGAGTCGCAGGCTCCGTGACCACCGCCGCGGGGAGCTTCGTGGGCGAGGCAGGCGCGGGCGAGGCAGGCGCCGGGGGCGCGCCTGGAGGCGGAAGCTTTGGGAGAGGGCAGAGGTAGATTCCATATTCTATGTCCCTCCAGGGATCATGGAAGACGGTTTTCCTCTATACAAACTGGGGGGTGTCCACTTCCATGATTGTTTCAGGGAGGGTAGTTTTGGTTGACCTTACCCGTGCTGAGGACGACATGGACTCTGAAAATCGGTTTTGCAAAGGAAAATCGCCTTTCAGGAGCCATTCGGCCCGGGTCTATGAATGGTAGTTTTCGGGAGCGTAGGTCCAAGAATGACATCTGGGGTGCTATGTTGGCAGGTTCTGTTTCGGGCGGTCCGACCTCGGGAATAACAGGGTCAGCTTGGTGCCAAGGACCCGTTGCTGTAAACGTATTGGTAGACCTGTCAGGTTGTAGGGTATATCCCGACCAAGGCCTCATCAACCGATCAAGGCCGGCAAGATGGCCATTGGTGGGTCGGACCTGTGAAAAAGGGGTGGCGACGCAGCCGGCTCGGCCTCCAGAAGTTTGAGGTTCCTCCTGCAACAGCGTCAGAAATCATCCAGTGGGTGGAGAAAAATGGAACGTGTCAGAGAGAGAGAGAGAGAGCGAGAGAGACAGAGACAGAGACAAAGACACAGAGAGAGAGAGAGAGAGACAGACAGACAGACATTGATTGTTTGTTCACGATGGCACAATCCTCAAGGTCGGTGTTGTATATGGACCCCTCTAGATATATAAAGGACGTCTTTGGGCTTGTGCCATATTTGCACCAGATGTGGTTCTTTTGTGGTTGGATCATGTTGGATCGTCTTCAGCAATGGGCTTCCCATAACTTCCCTCTGCCACTTCTTGGCCGAGTTGGCCCTCCTGTGACTGGCTTCCACCCATCGCTGACTCAACTGGCACCCAATTCGTTTCAACGGGCGCGTTCAAATCAATCAACGGCCAAGTGCCAAGAGGGATCTTCGGTCCAGACTGTTGTGACAAAAGGTGCTGTACCTGGAACTGCTGCACTGTTGGAACGTGTGAGAGTGCAAATTGCCGGCGTGGAAGACCGGAAACGCAGGCTCTCTTGAGGCTGAAGGGCGGCAAAGGGGTCTGCTGATGATGAGATTGGCAGGTGTGGCACGATCGAAAGTACGAGTACCATGATTTGCAGTGAATCTAAAGTTGAACATGAGCTTTCAGGGAACATATCTTAGGGTTTGGTATGGTTTGGTCACAGGCCCAAAACGGATGAAACGCTTGAACACCAACGATTCGTCGCTTCCACTGGTTCCACGGTGACGGTACCGCCGGCGACTCGAACGGGCTGGCCAAATTGGGTGGGCGAAGCATGCATGGAATTTGGATATTATGGAGGCAAACCATGTCAAAGTTGATAGGACATTCTGTCCTATCAAAGTCTGTAGATGTCTGTAGGTCTATAGTGTCGCAAACATATATCAAACGCCTCACTACGACTCACTCTTGTCCCGTTTATTTGTAGAGAGTTTCAAGCAGCAGGGGATTGAGATGCCTGCTCAGCTCACCGGTGAAAACTACAGTGAACACTGAAGTTTGGAGTTCCATGTTCACACCTCTAGATTCCAGGTCAGTCCCAGATCGAGCCTCAACTTTTCAACTTCTAGCCGCCAGCATGTGGAAGACCCAAATTTCGATTCTCCAGCCTTTCCGGCCCCGGTTCTAATTTCTTAATCCAAATGGGTGTGTATTTAAATAGGGAGACCTCCCAACCCATGGGTGTTTGGTCTGATGTCTAGACATCCCGAACCTTCCAGAGGGTCGAACTGGGAGGTCTCCGTATTTTAATACACGCCCACATCGACCAGTCTCTAGCATCCCAAGCCTTCATCGGCCTCCCTCCGCCCCTTTCACCCCGCGAAATTACGGACAAACAACTCGATGTCTCCTCACACACTTCACCCGCGAAACGGGCCCCGTTCAGGAAACAACTCTTGGATCCTTACTTTGAGAAGTAGCATCGAAAGTTGGGTTATTCATGGTTATTCAGGGTTTCACTGTGCACAAACCTACCCCTCTTACACTAAATGTGGTCTTCGCATGTTTTGACCGTGGCTCATCTCTGGTCCAATTCCAACAGCTTTCCTCACCCTGTCGGACCTCGCTGCTTTTTCTTCCGGCCGCCGCGGACCCTCTCGGTCGACAAGATAACGCGTCCGAGCGTCAGAGTGTCAAAGCGGTTCATCGCTGCGGCCGAGGAGCTTGTAAAACTCGCGCCTGGGGAGGTTTTTGGGGAGCTGATGGTGGGCGCATGGATTTTCCGTGAGGGTATCGATCGTCTTGGGTAGGTAGGAGTCGGAAGTGCATTTTTGCTGCTTCACCTGCTGTTGAGGCATAGGTCTATAGTCTATAGGTAGCCAAACATGTTCTCCAAAGCATCCTCAAGCACCTGGCAAGAGGGTACCCCCTACAGGTCCAAGACCTTCTTTTTGCTGGTGTTGGTCATACAAAAGCATACAAACACACACAAAAACATACAAAAACACGATACTCAACGATAAGTTCTGAAGGCCAGACTTGACTAGGGCCTAGACTAGACTTTCGGGCTATGGTATGAAGTGCCTGGAGCGATCTGAAGATGCAAATAAAGCAGGTGGTCCAGTCTAAAGCCTGCTCCTGAGAACCTCATTGAGTGTTTTTGTGACCAACATCAGTATTTCATGAGGTCTTTCACTGACCCTGTAGGGGCATGTTTCACTGACCTGGAGGCTGGTTTGTGTGCCGGATCGAGGCTTGACGAACCGACGGACAACAACACGGGCTTTAAGAGGGATTCTTAAGCAAAATATGACTAAACACCCTCTATATATTGGCATATATAACTATAACTTATACTATAAACAACTATTTTTCTATGTACTTGTATTATACGTCAACTCTTGAACGAACCCCCCGCGTTCGTAACACTCCTTGTGATGGCTCGTTTGAATCCCAACTACCGCTGTCAAGTCACCAGCGCCCTGCACCAGGCGGCCGGTAGGCCGTCTTGGGTGGCTGCAGGGGTTGGGCACCACTCAGCTCCTCATTGCAAAGCAAACCAAACGGCAAGCATACATGATCATACTGTCATACTCATGATTGCAAGAGTACCAGGTGTTGCACATGCCATGAAATAGCCTCTTGCACCCTCTACTGCAGGGATTTAGACACTTTGATTGACCTTTTCGTGGCCATGTCCGCCTGTTGCGGAAACCTTGCGTTTCAGCGGTCCAACATTTGCATCAGAAAATACCATAGACCCCAGAAACTTAAATACACGTTGTTGTGGAAAATCGAACACGCACCACCACTGGGGGTACCATGGAGCCTATATATAGTACCAAAAGGCAAAAGTTCTTCATGCTTTTGCTGCTTCAGGAGGAGAGGCTACAAACATGTGCTGAAATCCTAGTAGAAACATGCAAAAGCAAGATCAAATTCCAGGCATGCAACTGTTGAAGATTGTTGAACACTTCGGGAAGTTTGATCTGAACATTCACCGAGCCAAACAAAAAGAGTTGCTGAGTCTGTTGTCTTTTTTGGGAAGGTTGCTGGACTCTTTCACATCACGGTCCTTGATGCGCCGATTTCTTTTGGCCACCTCGGCGTTCGCGGGCGCCCCATGTGAACCTATAGACACAACATGACACAACTATACTCTCTGTGATGTACCAAAAGGTGGTGCTTTTGGATCTGCAACATCAACATCAGGCTGAAGAGCCTGGTTGGAGGGCTGCAGCTGCACGCTGGAGGGCTGTTCCTGAAGAGGATCCTGTTTGGATCATGCATGATCCACCTCTTGGATCGTGCTTGGATCATGCATGGAACAAAGAGACCTGCTTGGTTTAGCACCGTCATGCTTGGCACATCCTGCTTCTTTTCATCTAATGGCTTCCTCATCTATAAGAAGCTACGTCGGCTCATCTGTCCAAGCCACAGCTCGAGCCTTGAGCAGTGGAGGCTTCCTCATCAAAAAGAATTAACATAACATCATAACCCAGACACTCCATGGGACTGCCATATATGCCTACATTGACCCCCAAAACCACCCGAATGTAGGCATATATGGCAGTCGCATGGAGTGTCTGGGTAACAATTGCGCATCATAACATACTTATATCACAAAGTCACCTCCTTCATGACGATGTCGTCCTTTGCTCAATACATTATTCAGTGTCCTGACTGTCGGAACACATTTTTCAAAACACGACCAGTTTCCCTCCCACAAATGCTTCCATTGGCGTGACATGTGGACCTTTCTGGTAGTCGATTAATGTTCATTCATCAACGAGGATCCTCTGGTGTTGTGTTGGAGATGGAGATGTTGGACGCCAATCCACATGCTAGGAGTCCTTTGATTCATGAAGCCGAGACCAGACAAGAGTCAGTCAGTGCTTGGAAGAAAGGGTCGCGGTCGTGTTCATTGGTCGTGGGTTTGTCTGGGTCCTAGGATGTCCAATGTCTGAGGGCGTCTGGATCAGTGATGTCCGTACAGAAGAATCGAGGGGTCGGTTAGAGGGGTCGGATTGATACCGATCCTTTGTACACTTGGGGGTATCCCCTCGATTCATCAGTCAATCAAAAGGCCATCTAGGACCTCCAAATAGATTGATAGAACAGTAGATCCCCACTACCAAATGTCTTGCACACCGTGCCACTATCGACAGAAGGGGACCACTATAAGCACCGTACTTGACAGGTCAGGTTCTGCACCGCACTCGGTTCGGGGATCATCGGACATGACGGGCCCGGCTTTGGCACCTTTGGTGACCGTTGTCACCAAACATGTGTCAGAGCGTGCTTTTCGAAGTCCTCCCAAAAACGATGGAACATCAAGGAACAGGAAAATGCACTCTGGTTACCAGAGGACTCTGGTTCAATCTGCTTCATCCGGTCTTTCTTACAGGACCAGCCATTTGAACTCCAATGGAACCTCGTCCTCCAATGAACCAGCCACATCCACAAAATCTTGGGCGCTCGGGCCATATGCAAAAAGACCTCAGGAGTGTTGAGCTGGGTCGCTGGATCGATTTCTACTGAACTTTTGGAATGACCAAGTGCTGCAGCACCTACACTCCCTGAAATTATGGATGGCATGGCCCCTTGGACGACCATTTTCCCAATACCAAACAGGTGGTTTTCTGCCTCCATGATCCCAGGGAGAGTACTTGGTTCCTGTTTTCTTGGCGCTCGAAGTGACCCACCAGAGGTGGGTCAGTCGCTTCGGACCCCTTCCCGAGCTACATTTTCATCACCCAAACCGTCTCAAATAGTCCATGGGACGGGCAGATCAATGGGAGTATCATCTGAATACCCCTCCGTTTCACCGGGCCAACTGTATGCCGCCATTACATGGAGCCCCAAACGGGGTTATGGCAAATGACCATGAAAATCCGAGGAGGTCGGGTCAGATCGGGTCACGAAGAACGAGACCATGATTCATGATGATTTCAGGGAGTGGTAGGCGATATTTTTTGACATGGGAACACGCATGGGAACGCTTGGGCTGTCCGTTGACTGAGCGTTTTCTGTCCTCTTTGGGATCACAAAGCTGGCGCATCAAGAACCTGGAAGGCGAAGAAAACACAGCAATGCCCTTGGCCAATTAGTAGGAAAGGCCGCTGTGGAACGAAGAAGCGGAACAAGTATAGTTAAACACCAAACAACTATATTACATACCAGCACCCTCCTGGCCAGGCTGTTAGTTGAGGGTTGTTGGACCCTAACAGGTCTCAATTGGTGACCTGTCGGAGGGTCCTGGTACTATTACATACTATATTACTGTCACACCATGCAACAGTGAGTTGTCCTACTGACCGTCGTCACCAAGTCTGCTTGTTGCGAGCCTTGGCCCGCCCGAAACCATGGATGGATTCCCCCAAAACATCCAGGTGCCATTTCCACCAAGGGCTCCTCCTTCTTCTTCCCTTTGCAGAAAACATCGTGTACCACCTGGGAAAGAGGACACCAAG